ATCTTTTTTTAACAGGANGCTTAATACATATAATGTGAAGAATCAACATCTCCATAGCAATAAGAAAATAGAAATGAATAAATAGAAAATAGAAAACTACGTTAACATTACCAAGTTGCTACCATTCTAACCAAGTTGAGATTTTTGACCCCATACACCTCAAAATACAACAAAACAATCGTGAAAGGCAATAAAGAGAGATCTTTTTTTAACAGGAAACAGACCTCAACAATCTCATGAGCAAGCACCTCATGGAACTTAAGCCTGACAAGCTCCTCTTTCCTCCAAGTATCATGAATCTTCTCCATCACAGGCTGCGTAAGCCCAGCTTTGGGTATATTAATCCTGACTCTCAAATACATCCCGTCTCTCCTCAACCTCCGTAACTCAGAATCCTCAACCGTTAGCTCGGCCAATGAAGGAGCTCTAGCTCTCCTCTTCTTCCTCGTTCTTCTCCCATGGCAACAACACGTCATCATCCTCATCGTCGTCACTCTCTTCTTCTCCTTCGGCGAGAATCATATCAGGTCTCACCCACTCTCTCTTCAACAAATCACCTAACCTCTCTTCTCCAGTCACCACCGCCTTCACATCTTCTTCTTCACCGTCGTTATCGTTTACATCTTCTTCGTCGTCAGAAGCGATTTATAAGATCCGTAGACGAAGAACGATCCATAGCATCTCGAGGTCAGGAACACCAGCACGTTCTCCAGGACGTGGTCTGGACACGGCGGCTGAGTCACCGGAGAAGATGATTTGCAGCTCCGGGACTTGGCGGAGAGTGGATCCAAGCTTGAGAAAAATAGATTAGGTTTGATAAATGAATTGAGGGGTAGAATAGTATTTTACCTATCAAAATTTTAAGTGTAAAGTTGGTTAGTGTAAAAATAAAATAGTGTATCATAAAAGTGGTAGTTTTAGCAATTTCCCATAATTTATTTACGCTGGGCTATTATATATTTTTACATGACACAAAATATATCTGTTATTTGCTAACATATATAGTACCAGTCCATACGTTCATATAACATGTATATACACTATATATCTATAACATTATTTGAGAAGTAAATTTGCTTAGTTGTCATGTTCTCCATAAGTTTAGGTAATTTTGTTTATTTATCATATTTTTAATATTTTTATATATTTTATTTATAAATAAATGAATTTATATAAATATATCATATTTTTAGTAATAAGATAATTCTTGTGAATTATGTTGTTATCTTGAAATATATTTTTATATATAAAACTTAAATTTTAAATTAAGATATAAACACTATTATATTTATCTAAAACAAATTTATATTAATAATTTAATATTTAAATATANAGATAATCATTATGGATTATGTTGTTATTATGAAAACATATTTTCCTATTATAAAACTTAAAATTAAGATATAAAAATTATATTAAAATCCTAATTAAATATAAATCATCAAAAAAATTATTTGAAAAGTGAATTTGTTGATTTGTCTCCATGATCCTAACTAATTTTGATCATTTATCAGAATTTCTATAATTTTTTGTTATTGATTATATAATTAAAACTAATTTATATTAATAATATGATATTTTAGAAAATAATTTAAATCTTATGTATTATGTTGTTATCTTGAAAAAATATTTTCTAATTATAAAATTTATAATTAACATGTAAAAAATCTATAATATTATTTAAAAGTGAATATGATGTTTGCTGATTTGTCATATTTTCCATGATTTTAGGTAATTTTAATAATTCATCAATTTATATAATTTATTATATATTTGAAACAAATTTTACATTAATAGTATCAGATTCTTAGAAAATAAGATATTGTTTATGTATTAAGTTGTTGTCTTGAATATATATTTTTCTATTAGAAATTTAAAATTATGATATAAAAAGTTGTAGTTATTCTATAATTGAAATAAATTTACACTAATAATATTATACTTTTAAAGAATATAGTAATTCTTATGTATTATGTTGTTATCCTGAAAATATATTTTTATATTATACAATTTAAAAGTAAAATAGAAAATTATATATTATTAATTAAATATAAATCATCACTCAAGAAAAATTATTTAATATGTGAATTTGCTGATTCATTAAGTTCTTAATAATTTTAGGTAATTTTAATTATATGTCATAATTTTATAATCTTATATAATTATTATAAAGTTAAAAAATTCTCATATTATATTTTTAGAAAATAAATAACTTATGCATTATATTATTATCTTGAAAATATGTGTTTCTAATATAAAATTTAAAATTAAGATATAAATATTATAATTAAATATAAATCAAGAAAATAGTTATAGAAATATATTTTTAAAAATATTTCTGATGTTTGAGTTTTGTCATTGATAATTATTTGATGTTTGATTTTTACTTTTTGAAAACATAAAAAACAACTTACTATGCTGATTTTTAAATTAATGAAACATAACTAATAAATATTCATAAGAGGATAATGCCCGCAAGTGCGGGCAAAACACCTAGTATATATATATATATACGTGTGTGGAATTCTAGAAACTAAAGCCCGTTAATAAGGAATTTTCATTGAATAAATTCTGAAATTTTCCTGTGGTAGGATTGACGTTCTAAATACATATATGACACAACATACATATGAAACCTCCCACTAATTATGCTTTGAATAACATTAATTAACTATTTTAGACCCAAAAAACATTAATTAGTGTTATTTACATGTGTTTGTAATACATTCCTCTAAGTTGGTGGGATCTTTAACCACTCTTCCAAAGTAAATATTTTTACCTTGTCTAAATATTTAAAAGTTTAGAATAAATAAGGCCGCAAGCTGAGGTAGAAGAGTTGAACCAACAAAAATTAATATGAATACAGAACTTTGTATATGGATGGCTTAAATAAAACATAATCTTAAGAAATTCTGACATTGGGGGTGATTGGTTGGGTTGTAAGTGTTGACTTTAGCTTTATTTTTTATTTACAGCACTTAAATCACCAATCATGCTTTATCTTATTTTTTAAAGCTACAACCAAAAACTAAGAAAATTGCTGTAAAATCCTTTTTTTTTAAAGCTACATCTTTTTTGCTGTAGATAATTTTAAAGCTACATCTCTTACAGCTAAATCAAAAAACTCTACAGACTAATTTATACAGTAAAACTTTTACAGCTACAGTTCAACCAATCATCCCCATTGTTTTAGAAAACACTTTTTCCCACATTTACCGTTCAAACATGTTTTAAACCTCTAAAACTATTTGATATATACTTTTACCGCTAAAACTACTTAATGTATTCTTATTCCTTTTGATTTACTTGATCTGCTTTTCCCTTTAAAGTCTACATTTATATTTTTTTCTCTAAACTGAACAGAAATGGAATTTATTTGTGAGAAAAAAAGAAAATATTTATCGACATAACCAGAGAATACCTGATTTCTATTGTTTTATGGGTACATACTTTATATGAAAGACATATATATATATATATATATATATATTGGCATATTTATTTATCGACTAACAAAAAGATTGGCTCCGATTATAGTTCAACAATGAGATTTGAGAGATTTGTGGTGTAATATATGTATGACGTTGCAATTTTCTATTATTAAACTAACTTTTGGGTGTGAATTATATCTATTATTAATAAGAGTGGTACGTTTAAAAGAGCCCTTCTGCTGGCTGTACTATCTCAAGATTTGGAACATCAATTCGAACGTTACTTGTCAAACTCAGCCATAAGGGCCTTGCTTGTGTCTCTGCAAGGCATTTGTGTGGACGTGAGTGTATTGGTACAGTTGTTAGCTGTTATCAAGCCTCCCTCTCTCCAGTACGCAGCATTGCGAATTCTTGAGGACTGGACTCTGAATGTTGATAAATTGGCAGTGGATTGGTTTGTGGCTATAGTTGTGCTCACTGATTACAACTCAGATGTTTCCTACCAAGTAGTTTCAGATTATAGGGTTTATCTAGCCCAAATCTTACGTTCAGTGTCAGTTTACGGGGTTCACCTAACCCATAGCCGGTCTCAATGCAAGTAAAAGTCAAGGAAGTAAACAAAGTACCTTCTCTCCATCAAGATCAGATCAGACAAGCACCACGTATAGAGCCATCCCGACAGCAGTTTCATATCATGTGTGATTGAAACGGCGTGGAACAACGACAAATTGACAACAGGATCGGATGGGTCTTCTCAGGTCCAGGTCTGGAGACTCCAATCCATGGATCTGTGGTCAAAAACTTCATCAGCTCACCCCTTATTGCAGTGGCCATCGGGCATATAACTTTTATAAGCATGTTTTCTTATGGAACATATTAATCAAATCATATTTTTATTTGTATAAATATAAATTGGCCGTGAGATAAGCAAAAAAAGAAGTGTCGTATATTTAGATAGATGCAATGTGTCAACAGAGTAAGAGGGATGGAATGATTTTTGACGATTAGTCTAAGATTTTATCAGTTTAGAATTTTATTATCTTAATAAATCGCTGACATACTAAAGACAGGAGAAGCTATGCACGAATGTTCACATTACGGTTTCTTTCATGGTGGGTAGCATTGGGTGAAGTTGGTTGGACAAATCTCACAAAAAACCATTGTGTTTATATTATTATACTTATGCAGATTTTAAGACGGATGTTACTTTGTAAACATAGTAATGTAAACTAAAAGGAACATTAGTATATACGCCGACAAATATTTTATTAGACACACAGTTAACATATAAAGTCATGTATATATACATATATATGTTTTATAACCATAAAAATGGGTACGTCGTATGCCTTGATGAAATACCGCGTGAATTGTCAAAATATTAGCTGTAATAATCAACAGTTGAACAAGAGACTACCGTGGGGTGACTTGCTTTCTCCCTAAAAATATTAGTTATATACTTATATTATATATGTGAATAAATTTATATAAACCCTATCTATGTCGCATTATTGAAAAGCTTTTTGCTGTCGATCTCATTTGTTCTCTTCAAGGGAGCAAAAAAAAAACATGGAAGAAAAGCTTCCTCCAGGGTTCCGATTTCATCCTACAGACGAGGAGCTCATAACGCATTATCTTTGTCGGAAAGTCTCCGATACTGGATTCACCGGTAAAGCGGTCGTCGACGTTGATCTTAACAAGTGTGAACCTTGGGATTTACCAGGTAACCATACTTGAATCATCAATAATATACTATATCATATGTTTGCGTATGTGTTAATTAGTTTATGTAATCTTCAAATAACTTGTGTATATAATACTAATAAAAGTCATAAGATATGTATTATGCTTCCTTTTGTTCTACTGTTTTTGTCTGCGTGGATTTTGGTAATAATTATCAGTCACGCCTTCGAAAAATATGGTAGAAGATTGATCATAGCATTTAATATCGATGGAAGACAATTGTGTAACATTGTAAACCACTTGATATAACTAATATTATCGAAACAATAGTTTGCTAAACTGTTTTGGTAACCATATTCTTCAGTTTTCTTAGAGTAAATTAATTAGGTTCTTTATATAGGTGTATCAGCCTACCAAACATGTGGAGATTATATGCATATATATATATATGTATATGTATATTAAGAATTTCTAGTTAGATTGCATATATATAGTTCATTGATGACTTAATATTAAACTAAATTATACTATAATGCAGTTAACCAAAAGATAATACTAGTCTTCGTTTCTATGTTAAGTCACTGTGATATAACTAAAACAATGTGAGAATACTTGTGCATATCTGCAGCCAAGGCTTCAATGGGAGAGAAAGAGTGGTACTTCTTCAGTCTAAGAGACCGGAAATACCCAACCGGTTTAAGAACAAACCGAGCAACTGAAGCCGGTTATTGGAAAACCACTGGTAAAGATAAAGAGATATACCGAAGTGGAGTGCTGGTTGGAATGAAGAAAACCCTAGTTTTCTACAAAGGAAGGGCTCCAAAGGGTGAGAAAAGCAATTGGGTTATGCATGAGTTTAGGCTTGAGAACAAACAACCCTTCAAACCGTCTAAGGTACATACTACAAAATGTTTTTGTTTCTTGATCAAAGTTATATATCAATACCATTAAAACATGATTATTCATTTTAATGAAAAATTTATGTTTTCATAAACTATCCTTAATTTTATGAACAAATTTAATTTTTCATTAATGACATTTTAGTGTTTTTTTATTTGGACCTAAAAACTATATACTAATGGGTTTCATTAATGGTCTGATTCTCTTTCAAATTTTATTAAAAAAATTCTTGCAAAAATAAATTTTCTTTGCGGGTCAGGCGGGTCAAATTTTTCAGTCGAAAAAATGACTCAATCCGCTGCGGAACAGGTTGGACGGAGCGGGTCGGATTGAACGATTGAAATTTTGTAACTAAATGATTTTACGAATTAAATCACAAAACTAAAAAAGAAGTGTTAAATATACAATTTTTCTCAAGTACACATTTCAGGTACAACTATTGCTAACTTATTTAGAAACATAAAAAAATTGTCTGAGACATTATAAAATAAAAATTTCTTATACCCGAATAATAACTTGATCTTGATTCTGTGACATTTTATATCATCAAAGCAAAAAACTTATTGATCCATCTGCAGATAAAACAACAAAAATAGTATCCGTACTTTTTAAGCACGGGTCAAAAATCTAATTGGTGCCATTAAAAGACAACATTATGGTTATTATAATCTAATAAATGATCCTCAATATATAATTTACAGGAGGAATGGGTAGTGTGTAGGATTTTTCAAAAGAGTACAGTGGCAAAGAAACCACAAGAACAACAACCTCAATCTTTTGGATCACCATGCGATGCAGACTCATCAATGGCAAATGAATTTGAAGATATCGAGCTTCCAAATCTGAATTCAAACACATCAAGCATCGATTGCAACCATATTCATCAATACTCGCAAAACGGTGTTTACTCACAAGACAATACTATAAGTACGGCTGGTCTCAACATGAACATGGCTACTAATATCCCCTCTTGGACAACAAGTCTACTTGGTCCGTCTTTATCTCCAATCAACTCTTTGCTGCTCAAGGCTTTCCAACTTAGGAACTCTTATAGTTTCACCGATATCAATCCTTCTACTCTTCAGCAAGGAGTCTCCAATGTTATGCAAAATGGCTCAAGTTCTTCTCAACCCCAACCGCATGAGGAAGCTTTTAATATGGACTCCATGTGGTAATGAAGGGATTTAAATCAAGTAAATTAATTAGTGTATCGATGTTTTATGTGAAAGTAGGGAAAAGTTTCCAATATTCATGTATACGTCATATATTTATATTTAGTGAGAGTCTATAAAAAAAATGTTTGAGAAATTCATACTAAAACAAATGAAATGAGAAACATTAATACAGACCTTTGACGACATTACATGTTACATTTTTTATTTTATTTTTGTCACGAACATGACATGTTACATATGGCTAGAGATAGTAAGTTTTTCCCTGAAACCAAACTAAGGCGTGAAACTCGAATCAATTGCCGAGGCCAACATCAATGGAGATCAAACTTGTCAGAATTAATGACAAAGACAGAGATCAATGCACATTTGGTAAATACTTTATCAAGTAGTGTACAATACATTGAAAGATAAAAAAAACATACAACTTATTTGTAAAATACAAATAAATAAATTGATCTTTGTTGAGAGGACTAAACTGTTCTTTGTTACTTGCACAAGTAGATGATGAACATACTCTGCCTCCTATGTTTGAGATCTCTACTCTCTTCTTTTTCCAGCAATGAACAAACCATTACTGTTTCACAAGTCAGCTACAACCTTCTGAGATATAAAAAAAACGATGCGTGCCTCATCCTTAGCGTAATGGATAATCAGCTTCTTCTAAACTAGAAATTGTGGATTCACCATCAGCTTCAGCTTCGTCCCAATCACCCTCATCGTCCTCCGCATCATCTTTCTCATCCTCACTATCGCCATCATCATCATCATCATCATTCTCCCATTCGGATTCATTGTATGACGGGTTTTTTGCAGTCTGCAAGAACGAGTAGGTAGTGAATGAAGTGAAACAGAGCAGAACATGCGTGCTATTGTGAAAAGTAAAGAGATATTAGGAAGCAAGACCACTTACAAGTTCGTTCTGCATTTGCTCTATTTGTTTCTCCAGCTCAGAGATATGCTGACTAAGAGCCTACAATAGATCACAGAGAAGTGTCCATAAGCAAAAGCTGCGCTCAATATAGAAATGCAATTTGAATGGAGAGATTTCAGGAGATTCGAACCTCATGGCGTTGCATTGCAATGGAACGTTTCAATGCTTTTGCTTTTGTGAGAAGGTTTCTAGGTCTCAAGCTAATGGGTCTCTGGTAATTCTTCCCACGGTAATAAATAAGAGCAAATCCTTTAGGAACCTTTTCTATTGCCACGAGAACCCCACCGCTCTCGTATTCTAGTAACCGAGCCGTGTCCTCAACAAACGCAAGACTCTTCTGTTTCGATATAAGCTTCACCAGCTCTCTGTGCTTCCAATGCAGATGCATATTCTCGATGACCCCATCGAATACACCACGGATACCTGTTAGTTAAGTCCATGTAAAAGATGAGACATTCGTTCCATTCTATAACAACCCTTTATTCACTGCAGCCACACGAAACTGAAGGATTGATTAGCTTAAAAGGACTCACCTAAGGGTAAGTATGATTTCATTTTCAATCCCACTTTCCGGAACATGATTCTTTCTTCCTCAGAGATGACCTCTTGATCATAATCAGGTCCGTTTGGAACCATAGATGCTTCTATCTTGGACAAAAGTTTCTCTGCTCTTTGAAATTTCGATTGGGCCTGTCACAAACAAACAGAGAAGTTAGATAAAATGACTTACTACGACAGTGGCCACCAGATAGGATCTCACAAAAGACTTTAAAGTTCCAAGTAAAAAAAAAGTCTACTTACAAGGTTGAGTTTGTGCTGGATTCGTTTGACAACTCTGGCACTCGCAACCCTTGAAGCTTCTTCAATCATCTTTTCTCGATGGTCCGGAGTTATCTCTTTCCCCCATCGGGCTTGAGCTTCATAAAACTCCGCCAGAGTGCCAGCTTCCGCTGGTACTTTGTCTCCAACAGGTTGAGTAGCCTCAATGTCTCGGGTTCTTACCCTCTCTTCAACGTCTTGAATCTCTTTTGTTAATTCTTGTCTCTCCGCTAAAGTAGCTGCCACGCTTAAAGGAAGGAAGTCCTTCCCACGGTATATTACTATGTAATACTTGTTTCTCAGCAGTAAGACACCCCCTGTCAATGTCTGTAATGGAAAGATGAGAAATAAGTGAAGAAATTTAGCTTTTTGCCTGAAATTTTCTGCTTTATTTTAGTTTCTGTATTTCTATAGTTTAGGTGTTAACAACAGAGCTCAAGGAATAACCAGTATATCATAAGAAACATCAGTTTAGCAAGTAAACAAAACATGTCTTCAAGTTTCTAATTCTAGATCTAACCAGCCAGTTGTGAGGAATCATTACATTTCATACGACTATAAATCATTAGATTGGAATATGCCATACGACAATTAGCTTAGGAGAAGGACAAATACTAGACCGTGTTAATATTTTATTTCAGCAGTTAACTTTTTGACATAAAAGAGAAAAGAGAGACCTTTATCTCATCCGCCATCAGTTTGTTATTTGTATTCTGGATACCTCGCTTCACGGCTATCTTTGCAACCAGACTTTTCTCCCAGAGCTTGAGTATAGCAGCTGCCAGTCCTTGGTGATTTCTGTTCCTACCTGTAAAGTGCATATTCAAGATTAAATCTTGGATCACCAAACAGATTATTTTCTCAACAAAAAAAATCATCTAGGAAGTAGAAAGCCATCTTACCAAGAGCAAAATGGCAGGGGAGAGTTTTACCAATCTTCCTCAGATTTGTCATCTCAGCATTAGTCAAATTAGATCTCATACCAGTAGGAAGAAGCCTGAATGGTGTTTTATAGCCAGGAATCGTAGGAGGTAGTAAGTCAGCATCCACAGGTAGGATACCAGTACCCCAATACTCGTGAAAACGTGGACCTAAACTGTCTAATAGTTTGTTAAACTCAGCTTCTTCTTCTGTCATACTCTCCTTCCGAATAGGGTTCTTGACAATAGGATCTTTGATTTCCTGGGGTGCATTCTGATTCTTATTATCTTTGGCATTAGTTGCTTCATCACCAGCAGAAGATACATCTGGAACAAAAAGAGTTTCTTCAGGTCTAGCCATCTGGTTAGAGATCACAGAAGGTCCTTGATAGTCACGTCCACGATAAACCACCATTACACTTCCTGCTCTCCATATCACCATTCCACCAGTTCGACGCTGCACATTAGAGAGTAAATCCATATCAGTTTCCAAATAAACCTCTCCTCTAATTTTCACATACCTCAAATTCCCCTAACTCAAAACTACCTTAACGTTACCAAGTTTCTACCGTTCATATACAAGACCTATGACCATTCTAAACCAAGTTATGATTATTGTCCCCATAGTCCATACACTAAGGTATCTAGCTTACACCCCTTAAATACAACTAAACGTCCTGCAAGGCAATAAAAAGAGATCCTTTTAAACTGACCTCAATATTCTCATGAGCCGTTCTCATTAGAGTAAATCCATATCAAATTCCCCTATCTCAAAACTACGTTAACGTTTCCAAGAACTATGACCATTTCTAAACCAAGTTGAGATTATTGTCCCCATACACTAAAGTTATCTAAGCTTACACCTTCAACTACAACTAAACAGTCCTGCAAGGCAATAAAGAGAGATCCTTTTTTTAACAGACCTCACATTAGAGTAAATCCATATCAAACTCCCCTAACTCAAAACTACGTTAACAATACTAAGTTGCTAACATTCTAAACCAAGTTGAGATTTTTGTCCCCATACTCCTCAAAACACAACTAAACAGTCGTGAAAGGCAATAAAGAGAGATCCTTTTTTATTAACAGGAAACAGACCTCAACAATCTCATGAGCAGTTCTCATGTCACGAGCAAGCACCTCATGAAACTTAAGCCTGACAAGCTCCTCTTTCCTCCAAGTATCATGAATCTTCTCCATCACAGGCTGCGTAAGCCCAGCTTTGGGTATATTAATCCTCACTCTCAAATACATCCCGTCTCTCCTCAACCTCCGTAACTCCGAATCCTCAACCGTAAGCTCCGCTAGTGAAGGAGCTCTAGCTCTCCTCTTCTTCACCGCCACTCCTCTATCATCTCCGTCTACTCTCTCCCCTAATTCTTCTTCCTCTTTCTTCTCCCATGGCAACAACACATCATCATCCTCATCGTCACTCTCTTCTTCTCCTTCGGCAAGAATCATATCAGGTCTCACCCACTCTCTCTTCAACAAATCACCTAACCTCTCTTCTCCAGTCACCACCGCCTTCACATCTTCTTCTTCACCGTCGTTATCCTCCACATCGTCCTCGTCGTCAGAAGCGATTCCTAAGTTCCTGAGACGGAGGACGATCCTCTCAATCGCGCTTTGTCCTTTATCCTTCTCCAAATAGCGGCGTTTCGCTTCGGCCTCATCCTCCGATGACTGGATTTTACCTCGTTCGTTTAATTCCTTCCCGGAGGAAGAGGAGGGAGGCCACTTGTCGATCCAGGGAGCGGTGGGTTTAGGGTTCCGGTGATCTGATTGGCGGTTGTTATGGCTTCTATTGTTGTTGTTGTTGTTTCTGGAGCTACGCTCGCTCGTGCGGAGCGAAGAGAATGGTCGAAGAATGATACGAGAAGGTTGTTTCGGAGATAAGGAGAAGAATATCAAAGTGGGAAGCGATGAGTAGCGAGAGGTCGAGGTTAGAGGAAGGGAGTGTCTCAGTGGCATTTCTGTAATATTAGTCGGAATCAAAGCCATTGAACACTGAGAAAATTTATCTTCTTCACAGAACTGTCTTCTCCATCGTGTTGTTTGGATGTCTAGAAAATATGGGATTTGCAGGTGGATAAGCTGGGAAAAAAAAAAAATCAAAGAAGACGATGTGGATAAGACTATTGATAGGCCTTTTTAATGGGCCTTCTTAATGGGTCTTTTGAAAACCTGTTTTGTTAATAAACAAAAATTACGTAATTAGGGGTTATAGAGAAATGTAATTTTTTACTTAACTAATCTATTGTCTTGTTTGTTCTCTAGATTGCCCTTGATCGAGTGAGAGATCACCTAATGAGTGTTCTAGGGTGTTGCTAAGATGCATTGCTGTATGTGTGTTGAGATAAAAAAAAAAAAAATTGTTGTCTTGTTTGAGCAGAAGATAATTAAAGTATGTTCTGAAATTCATTAGCTATATAAGAGCATGTTTATTGCAGGTCTCTTAAGTTGGGTCTCTTACCGTACGATCTCTTAGTTTAACTAAAAACTATAAGAGATTTCTTTTTTTTTTTGTCAAAAGAGACATCCCTTAAATAAGAGATTTAAGAGACGTCTTTTAACGATTTTAGTTAAAAGATAAGGGACCGTATGGTAAGAGACCCAATTTAATTTAAGGGATCTGTAATAAACATGCTCTAAGTTTGCTGAAAATGCATTAGAGGTTAGATTGATTAGTGTTGTTGTGCTTTGGTTTTGTGAGTTCATGATAGTGGTTTTTAGCTTCTTTGCTTTTACTACAACGGATAATACAGCAGAATCAGGTCCACATATTCTTGAAGCTCTTGCTAAATAACAAGTTGATGAGCACTCAGTTAGTGTGTGACACACATGCCAACATCTTACAAAGTTTGCACATCTATCCATACTAAAACCGAGTAACACTTGGATCAATCAAGATTTGCATGAGTTTACAAGAAAGAACTGTTAATACTTGTTCTTTGTCTTCTTATCTTTCAATACTCGTAAGATTGATCCTAACCCAAACGGATACGAGCTTCCTCCTCTGCCCCCATTCTTTCCGGCGTGCTTTTGTGGTCTGAACTGATACGAGCTGCAGCAGACAGATGAAGGAGAAGACAAATGAGATGACGTATCTTCTCCTGGACGTGGGGCTCCATGTCTATGCGAGCTATGCTTGTTAATGTCCCTAAGCATTTCCCTCTTCGAATTCATCACTGACCCTGTGGAGTTGCTTCTTGTCAAAAGAGGAAAGGAGCAGATCAGACTCTTCTTCCTATCGCTGTTAAGGCTTGAGCTTCTCTTGAAGCTCCAAAACGACTTTGATGACTTCTCTGCCTCTGAGTTTGCGATGCTTCCTGGAGTTTCTTTCTCGCTCGAGTGTTGTTGGGGTAATAGCAATGGTGGAGGAGACAGAGAGGAAGAGGAGGAGGAGGAGGAGGAAGGAGCGGAGACTATAGGAGGGAGCTCGTACTTGTAGAGACGTTTTGGCATGGCGGATGCAGTAGTGACTTGGAAAGGAAGGATCGGGAGGATCATCCCGTCTGCGAAGATCTCATCAGCTGGTGAGGCATCAAAGTTTCTTGAAATGTGGAACTCGAAATCTGGACTTGATGAATCCAAAAGTGTTGTGTCTCTTCGAACCAGGCGTCCTGATTGTTGTTGTTGTTGTTCCATAGGAGGTGATGTATCTGATTGGCCTAGATCGCTAGCGAACGATATACGCTGGTGATATGACTCCGCACAGATCATGATGTTTGGTTTTTCTGGATGTTTCAAAAACAAACGGTCTCAGAAACTTGAAAACCAATGAGAAACAGAGGACAATTGGAGACTCACCTTGTTTGGAGGAAAGATGATGAATGAAAAAGATTTAGAAGATCATAAATGTTTTGCAAACATTTGAGACTAAGTTCTTAAGCCCCTACGGATTAGAGGTTGAAAACTTCTTATTAAAATAATGGATGTGGTGTGGCACTACTGCAAGAGACGATGAGCTTAGAAAAATATAACACATCATATCTAAAATGAGATTTCAAGGGTTGAATAAGTACCTACACTTCTAAGTGTCTTCTTTCTTCTACTCTGTTCTCCAAAGATGGAGACTGCTAACAAATTGATCATGGCTTTTAATTGTGAGATGGTTTAGACATTGTAAACATGCCGATGACGCAAGAATGTTTCTGAGTATATTTCAGATAATTTATCTGTGTGTTATTAGCACTGCAGTATCTTACAGAGTTTTTTTTTTTCATTTTTATACAATAGTTAACAATCCCCTGAACACTATTTGATAAATAACTTTTTTTTCAATTTTGCATATGTGACATCATCATATTCATTTTACAAGAAAAATAATGACATGATTTAGTTAAGAAGATGACATGGTTTCTCTAATTATGACATCTTCAAATTTAATGGTGAAGATTTTAATTTTTGGTAAGATTCTTAGGATTAGATAGTTACATAATCTAACTACATACTAGGGCTGGGCAAAAAAACCGAACCCGAAAATCTGAACCGAATCCGGCCCGATAAAAAAGATCCCGAACCGATCTGAACCCGACATAAGTACCGAATGGATCTTGTTTTACGGTATTTCGGGTTATGAATATTAACCGAACCGAACCCGAACTTAAATGAATATCCGAAAGAACCCGAAACTTTAAAACTCCTAAAAAACTTGTATCATATCCAATGTAAATTTCTAGTATGTTTTCCAAAACAGATTAATATATTATTGAGTATCTACAATAATTAGTTATGATATAAATAATTAACTCAAATATTTAGTCTAATGTATAGTGTTATTTGGTTATTATTAATGTTTATGATTGACATTACATTTGAAGTTAAGTTACGAATAAATTTGTTTTAAAGTTTATATAATGTTGTTTTTTTTTAAAGTGTAAATAATACTTTTTACGTTTATAGAATTGTTAGTTGTTAACTTTAATTTTTTATGTTTCATTATGTATAATATTTCGTTCATACAAAGTTTTGGTTTGTCATTAGTCATGACAATATTATTTTGAACGAGAACAATATGGTTTGTAGATGCTAAACCATATTGTTTAACGACAAATCTTATTTAGTTGATAGACGAGTTTCACAATATTATTTTGAAGGAGAACAATATGGTTTGTAGAAGTTAAATACACAAATTTAATAAAATGATTGAAAATATAGTGAGTTTAATTGAGTATAAATTAGTATTTTTAGAACCGATAACCCGATTAGTATCCAAAACCGAAATTATTTCGGGTTCAACCGGATCTTGGACATGTTACTAAACCCGAACCGAACCCGACTAAACCCGAACCGAATCCGACCCGAATTTTTATAATATCCGAATGGGGCTGAAATTCATGAACCCGAAAACCCGAAACCCGAATGAACCCGAACCGAAACCCGATTGGGACCCGATTGCCCAGCCCAACTACATACCATAAACGTATATCATATTTAAAATTATTATTAAAATTCAAAAAAGAATATAACTGCAAAATATGAAAGTTTTATTAAAATGAATTTATGATAAAAGAAGTAAGTAATTCTTAGAATTATTTGTATGTTCATCAAAATTAATGATAAAAGAGTTTTAACAAATAAACTATGACAATTTTGATTAAAAGTTTTAATTTTTATGAATAATTAAATATTTAAGTTATCTATGGATCCAAAAGTATATAGATGAATAATCACGTTTTTAATCTAGGGGATTTCTCAAATATGACTCAAGACATGATTTTAAATGCAAAATTAACCTAAGAACCTTGTGAAATTAAAATGAGACCCTTGTGACCAAACAAAAAAACAGAACTCATTTTTACGGATATAGCTCCGAAAAATCGTCTGAGTCTTCTAAGATACTATAAGTCGTCTAGACGACTTCTAGGGAAGTTTTCTGGTGTAGTTGAAATAATTTAAAAAAAAATATTTTGACAAGTGAAAAATTAAAATCATGTAATTATAAACATTTTTAAGTGATATAAATTAAGATAAAATAAAGTTGAATAGTTTTCAACATAGATGAGTGAAAGTAGTTAATCATGATATTCTTTAATTTAGAGTTTGACAACATGTGTTGTAGTATTGTATGTATTCTTAGGGTTAGATTTTGGAAAGTTTAAAAGTTTTTTTGAAAAAATAAATTTTTTACCTATATGTATTTATTTCTGTGTATGGTAAACACTTTTTTAAATTTAATTTGATTTTATGAAGTATTTAGTTAGTTAATTTAATTTAGGAGCTATGTTTTTACAATTGACCGAGAACGATAAGATCCATACAATCTTGGGATATCAGACTAATAATATGCATAGTGGTATGACCAACTCGTTGCCGACGTGGGAGATGCACAAAAAGAGAAAGTAACACAACTAATGTATCTATCATGAATCAAAGTACGAACAGACAAATAGACAATATATGTTTAACATGAAAAGTATCTATGTTAAACAGGATATGTTTAACACAAATCAAGGCTGCCACAATTTCATAGGTCACTAAGCAGAGAAAGAACCAGCCAAAGCGTCAGATCCAAATCTCACTAGCTTCTTCAAGGCAGACGCTTTTGTCTTCAATTCAGATCCAATATTAATGACCTTCAGTCCATAGCCAATCTCCTTCCTCCAGGAGAAACCCATGTATAGAGCATATCCCAAGGAGAAGCAGCTTGCGTCAAAGGCATATTTGTGATTGCACGCAAATGAAACACTTGAAAACACAACATAAACTAAGTCAGTTTGTGATACTCAAATAGAACAAACATATCAATAATCAACATACTTACACTGATGACTCAAAGAACTTTTCTTGAGTAGATCAATTTGCAAGGCAATAAGATGCTCCTTTAGTAGATCATCAAGTAATTAAATGCTTATAATTGATATACTTCTTGCAAGTATCAGAATGACATTTGAGAATAACATATTTCATGACAACTGCTGTTGCACTGAACCTGAAAATCACAAGATAGAAATGTTAACTAGTTTGTACAAAACTTGACCCCAAAAAGAGCTAGTTTGTACAAAACAGAATAACACGCCTTTGTAAGAAATGATACTTTTGAGACAATCAACACAAAAACCATCTCCACAATTAATTATCAAACATCGCGTAAAGATACCATAAAGAGAACAATTAGAGTGGATTTCTATTGTTTGAGACTTTGTGGCACAGTTTGAAAGAATGACATAATGAGAATAAAGAAGAATAGTATTCCACTCGTAGTTCACAAGGAGAATGGCGGCAGTGCTTTATGAGAGCCTAGATTAGAGGCCGTTTTGTGATTTGATGCTTCAACTGTTCGAACAGTATATACACAAACACATTGAATAAGAATCTCGAGATCCATATCATACATAAACACATTGAAATCAAGTCAGTCGCATAAGCCAACTTGGAATCGAACACGAAATATCAAATTTCAAAAAAATAATAATTAGTATATTTTAGCATAAATATATCTTAAAATTAGAAATCTAAATAAGAAAACTTTTATAAATTAATAGCTCTATAAATTAATAAAATAGTGCTTAAAATTTTCAATTTTTTAGTTTTAATAAAATACTCATTCTGTTTCAAATTATTGCATATTTTAGTTTTTTCACACATATTAATAAAACATATAATAAATGCATAGCTTTTTGTGATTATCCTTTTCCTATAAATCTAAACCATTAATTTTATATTCATTTTTATGTAGTATTATAAATGTAAAAAAGAACAAATCAAACATTATTACACTTTCTATAATTTTTAAAATTAGCTACCATTAATTTTATAATAGTTTATATACTATGAAGATTTTAAACTCATGTGAATAATCTATAAACTCGTTTTACAATTTATATAAGAAAAAGATACTTTTCCACTGTTTATAATAAAAAAATAAAGTTAGTAAATTAGTCTTATTATTATTTTTTAAATCTACTTTATATAATTATAAATAGATTATTAGTGAATCCATATAAATGAAAAAGTATTATATAAAAGTTTCGTAAATGCTAGAATTAAATATTATAAATGATAATGCATAAGATAATATAGATTGTTTGATAACTAACATTAATTGGTTTTATGGTTGTCTCTTTTAGATTTGATTAAAATAAATGAAATTTAAAAATCATCAACCAATCAAATGTTAACAATTTTCTTAAAATTCAGATATGATTGACACATAAGCAAAATTAAGTGAATTCTCAATCAATATATAGTAGGATGTCTGAGTCCTAAAAAAAAACTCTTTGGTATTTTATCTTCTTCTATCTTGTTATTTTTCAATTTTTTTTCTTTTTTTGGTTGTTCCCAATCTATTAAAAATATTTTTTTCTCTAATGATTTATTCATCTTCCAAATTCTTATAACAGAAAACTATTATCTTCACTGTAAATTATTTATCAAGACTATGGTTGTAAAATTTATATGATGTCCATTTATCAATTTCGTGTAATTGGGATGCGTAATGATCATAACAAGTTATAGTTATTATTACACAGAAATTTATGATAATAACAACTAATAGTTATTATTGCATAAATTTTACATAGCAAAATTTAAACATATTGCATTTTAAATATCACATAGATTAAAATTTACATAAGTTTAAATAACATCTCAAAGTTTAACAAAATATTTCTGTATCATACTTATATAATAAACTTTGTAACTGAGCTGAATTGCGAAAATGACATTAGCAAACATAAAACATCCCTTATATATTAATCCTGAAGCATTCATAAATGCACAACCTTGAAGAGCATGCTTACGTGTCAAGCTCACAGAGCTTCTCAGCTTTAATTTTTTAATGGACTAAATTTGCTAGGAATGAAATAATGTAACATTTAATTTCTTGCATTTAGGACTATAATATATAGACATTTTTTAAGAGACCAACTCTTCTAGGTATAAAACAATATATTTTATTTCCTTAAATAAAAGCTACGGAATTACCTAATATGATTAACATATATATGTAATTAATGATTATGAATAATACATATTTTTGTATCCTCTCTCTTTTTTGTTTAATTTTAAATTATTAAAATAAATTAAACAATCACATTTAAATATATAATAAAAAAATTAATTTTTTTCTTATAGGTTATATTTTTAATTTTTTTAAAACGACCATAAATAATTAAAAATAGTAAAATCCCACATTGAAAACTTTTATGATCAATGGTTTAACTTTTTTTTTTCCAAAGAAGATACAAATTATCATAAATCGTACGAATATGAAATATCATTAGTAGATATTCATACTATAAATATGTTAATTTAAAAATTTAAGTGAAAAGGTTTGAGGTTAGTAGATACAATTATAGTATTCAAAAGATTTTTGTAGTTTGTTTTATTTGCTTCTTTTTTTAATATCTTTTAGTTTGTTTAGATAATTTAACTAATTTTAAATTAGATTTATTAATAGTTTAAATATTTTGATTTTTTTGTCAACTTTTAATGTTTAAGAAATATTTTTGGGGATGATTTCAGATATTGGTTACAATCCAATCCAAACTAAATTGAGAAGCTCAAATCGAATCCAATCCGATAATTAGTAAAATTCAAATAGGATTTATGAGAATAATACCAAAATCTGAAAATATGTGTCAATCAAACTAAAACTGACGAAGTCTCAAACGTCCAGACCTATGATGATTTAAGATACCAACATTTGTATTCATCATTTTATAATCGATAAATACTGTAGTATTGCAAAATGTTAAAAACCATTTAATGAATAAATATTAGTATAAAAATTTTACTCCGCGCATGTGCGCGGATTATCATCTAGTATCATATTAAAAGAGTATCCGCTATCATTGTTTTCATTAGCTAGACAGATAATAAACAAAAATATTGTTCACCTCACTATTATATACAATAATGTTATAAATTTATTCCAGAGATCCAAAATCTGATAAATACACATGAATGAACAAGAAAATCTTCAAAATTCAATTTAAATTTGGAAAAAAGTTTACAAAATTAATAGAAAATAATTTCTTGAGAAGTTTACTTACATCAGACATCTCCAGAAACCTATTATCTAGATTATTTTGTAATTATAAAAGACTTCTCAAGAAATTTGATTAGTTAGCTATTTCTTGAAAAGTTTTTGTTTGTAAATTATTTGGTTGTTTTTGTATTTAGATAAGTTTCAGTTTTGTTGACAAAAAAAAAAAAAATTACAACAGCACACAAAAAATTTCTCTAGAAATTATATTATGGGCCTCGAAGATGGGCCGGAAAATCGTGTGAAGGGAAATTTCGTGCGTAATTTTAATCATTAAAAAAAAAAAAAAAGTCTCCGAGGGAACCCTAACTTCAACGGGAACCCAAAAATCAGAATCCTCAGATCGAAGAGCTAAAACAAACAAAGAAACTCAGATTTGGATTCGTTGAAATGTATTGTTCTCAACAACCTTACTTCCTCACTTGAATAGTTTGAATTGCTTCCTCCACAACAATGTCAAGCGACCAGCGAGAAGCTCAGCAAGATACGACTACGACCACGGACGGTAACGAACCCACGACGATGACAGCTACAGAAGCTACGACGTTTTCTTCCCAGAGACTGAGGATAAACCCTAACAACGAGCATAGGCCTGAGAGTTACGAGGATCTGAAGCTCGATTTCCCCAGTGCTGTCTACTCTAGTCTCGAGAAGTACTTGCCTCCCCACATCTTGGTCTCCAACAGAGACGAGAAAGTCAAATTCATGACTGACATTATGCTCAGGCACCTCCCTCATGGAGAGCGTTCACGAGTAAGTTCAAAGTTTTGACCTTTGGCTCTTCACTTTGCTAAATGGTTATTGAAAGTTGAAGACTTTATGGTTTGTTTGCTTGTTGCTTTTACAAAGTTTTGACCTTTCTTTTATTTCTTGACATGGGTCTGTTAGAGCATGATTAACCCAGCCGGGATGATTTGATATTTTTTTGTTATTACATTTTTAGGCGGTTCTTATATTTCTTATTTAAGAAATATTTCTTAGTTTTTTTAGTTAAAATCTAAGAAAAACTAAGAATTGTCTTTTTAGTTAAGAAACCGGAGTTAATCATGGTCTTAGTTTCTTATAGAAAGTTCAATCTTGTTAGACTTCGATTAAAAGAGTTTGCATTTATAACAAAGTAGGCTTCTTTTTTTTTTGTTGTTGTCTTATGCCTCTTATGCTACAGGCTCAGAGGCACAGCGTCTATAGGCAGAAGATAATAACTAATTATCAGGTGTGAATCCCTTTCTTGACATTTACTCTGTTTCGATAATGGCGCTGCTTTGGTCATCAGCTTGTAGTTTAAAAAATGTTTTTTTTTTCCCTCTCTGCAGCCACTTCATAAGGAGTTGTATACTCTAGTTCCCAAACTATGCTTCGTCCCTTCTTTCATAAAGGCGATTGATGAAAGCTCAGAGAAAAGCTTCAGAAACATCATATCTGAACCATCTCCTGGCGTTTTTGTCTTTGACATGCTCCTACCTAGCTTTTGTCAGATGATGCTAGCCGAGGTAATGTGCATCCTTTCTCTTTTATGTTAGCTTTATACGTTTTGTTCATGTGCTACTGTTTGACCCTGCAGATACAAAATTTTGAAAAGTGGGTGGGTGAGACAAAGTTCCGGATCATGAGACCTAACACCATGAATAAATACGGTGCTGTGCTTGATGACTTTGGATTGGATAGCATGCTTGACAAACTCATGGAGTCTTTTATACGTCCCATTACAAAAGGCAATATATAAGTGAAATCCATTATATACTACTATTAAGGTGTTAGTATTGGCTAAAAAGTTACTTACCACATGTTTTTTGTTTTGTAGTATTCTTTAGTGATGTAGGTGGAGCAACTCTGGACTCTCACCATGGTTTTGTTGTTGAATATGGTAAAGATAGGGATCTTGATTTAGGTGAGAATTTTCAAATGACCTTTACTAGTTTGTCTGGAAATTCTGTTTTGAATATAAAGTAGTTCTTATAAATTTTGCAGGCTTTCATGTGGACGATTCAGAGGTAACACTGAATGTTTGTTTGGGTAACCAGTTTGTGGGAGGGGAGTTGTTTTTTCGAGGCACTCGGTGTGAGAGACATGTTAACACAACAACAAAGCCAGATGTATGTTACTCTTTTTGAGTTGTATAACATGTTACATCTGGTTGATGGCTAACTGAAACAACTATTTTCTACTGAAACCAGGAAATATTTGACTATCCTCATGTACCGGGGCAAGCTGTACTTCACCGTGGGCGAAACCGCCATGGTGCCAGAGCTACAACATCTGGACATCGGGTCAATATGCTTCTATGGTGCAGAAGGTAAGTAATAACACTAATTGAGACTTGCATCTTTGGCTAGACTGCTAAGTTCCACATTCTTATCAAGCTTTTCCTTCCTTGCAGTTCTGTGTTTAGAGAGCTCAAAAGTCATCAGAAGGAATTCTCCAGCTGGTGTGGAGAGTGCTTTTGTGAAAAGAAAGAGGAGAAAGGAAGGGCGCTTGATGCTTTAAGAAAGGTAAAGCATTTGATTGATCTCAAGCCTATTGTCATCTCTTTTAACATAAGGTGTAGATAAATTCATGTGATCCTTATCACTATTCCAGAAACTGGTTAAAGCAGTGCGTGCACCCCAAGATTGAAGTAACTGGTATTGGATTACTCTTAAAGAATTGCTTCTGTTTTAAGGTGACTTAAAACTGTTGCCTGTGTAGAAAATCATTTGATGAGATGATCAGTTCTCTGTTTAACTTTTTCTCAATTATTTGTAATGTACATGAAATCTAGTCTCAAGTTCACCTATACCACGAGGAGTTGTATTGTTATCTGATATTGTTGTGAGTGTAAGGAAGAATCAGTGTTGTCTAAGCTGCTCTCTCTAAGCTCCATATATGAGTTAACTTCGTTAGTAGTGAGTGTGCCCTTTACAGTTGTTGGCTAGAGCCACACACCATGGATTGTGGCTCTTCTTACTTTTGTAGTCTCTATTGAATGGAAAGAAGTATTAGGGCTACTTTGCACGTTGACCTAAATAATGGAAGAGAGAATATGAATGTGTTTTGTATCTGTCTACTTCGTTTATAGCAAGACAAATCGAATTTGGTTATGAAACTGTACCACCCAACCTGATTAGTTGACTTTAGGCTGTTTCATTGAATCCTTGTGAATCTGTTATTTATGACTTTTTGTTTATTTGTATGCTTGCATTCAATTTTCTTGGTATCTTTTTGAGTATCTGAGTTGATACGATGTTTATGTGATCGATCATACGGATTCGATTGAGCTTTCATAACAAGGTGTATATGGAACACAATCAAACCAGAGAATTCTGGAGATCTGATGTTGTAGAAAAATGATATCTTGGTGACTTGGTGGTTCCCGGTTTGTAGTTGATCTTTGGTGACCTGAAATTGTTTTGTTTGTGTGTATCAATTTTGATCCTTTTTTCTTTTGGATTCTGAAGTTGAGATCTCATATGATTATATAATTATTACAGAGGTTTTTCATATCACGAGCTGAGAAATTGAGAGAATCTTGCATGTGTCCCACTAATAAGAGAAAACTAGAGAGTACTAGTTGCTTCAATTATGATTATCACAAATTATTTATAAAACTGAATAGTTCCTTGTCAGTAGTCACATTAAAAATTAACAAAAACTATACATTCAACATATATTTTGGTAAAGTATCATAGTTTTATATTGAAGCTGAAATGGTACACATATAGTTGCAGCCGTTTTTTAGAATCTAATGACATGGATAAAGAACAAGTTAACTGAAAAAACGGTGGGTGTTTCTTGAATACTATATTATATTTATTGGTGAACTTATTACTCAAATTATTCATAAACAAATAGATGTGATTATTGATTGTTTTCCAAATTCAAGACAAGATGACTAATTGTGAGGTTAGATCACATGCTATATGATTCCATAAAGACATTATTCTGAAAGAAAATATACTATAACAGAAATGTACCCCAATTGAAGATGAATGCTTAATAAACAAAAAAAATTCTACACTTACTTTTGCCTTCTTTGCACATAGGAAAGATTTAAGTTACCTGAACTCATAGCCAGAGCTATCTCATTCTAATGATCAGGACCAGATCTGAAATTTAATTACTATAATAGTTTAAGGTTGATATTAGTAAAAAACAATTCGGCAATTTAGAGGTTATGAACCTATATATAATAGTTTTTAAAGAAAAAATGAAAAGCCAAGCGAATGTTCCATCCGGCTTTGTCCACAATTCTTTGTCAAGTTCATAGCATAATCCAAATTCAAAACTGTTAGTGTATATGAGAATTGAAGAGCATACAAAAAAACACAAATCTTCTATAACACTTAATGCGAGTGGAACTACTATCAATATATCCCAACATATCTAAGTCACATAAACATTCAACCTCCAAATCGTTTTATTATAGTCAAGTAACCATCTTACATCATCAACTCATCATTATTCATAATCATTGATTACAAATAAATAAAGTACCCTACTTGAAGAAATGATGGACCATTCTGTTACCACTAAACCTAATAATCATCCCATTAATTTATTATAATCGGTAATTATTCTTTTCTGCTTTAAATCTCAAGTCTACCCGGACACACATTCATATAAAAGCAAACCTTTGATGAACTAATCAAACATCAAAAAAAGAGAAGAGCTCAAGAAGAAGAAAATGGCCAAAGGAGTAGTATCAGAGAAGATGAAACTTGTGGTGGCATTGATCACACTTCAGTTCTGCTTTGCAGGCTTCCACATTGTCTCAAGAGTAGCTCTTAACATTGGTGTCAGCAAAGTTGTTTACCCTGTTTACAGGAATCTTCTTGCCCTTCTCCTTATAGGTCCCTTCGCTTACTTCCTCGAAAAGTAAGTTCTTTCATCTCTCAAAGTTTCTAGGGTTTCCTAGAATGTATTTGTTTGTTTCTCATATTGGGTTTATTGTGTAACTTTAGAAATTGAATCTTTGATCTCATCTGAGATTTTTGTGTAACTTACAGAAAGTTTAGATCTCAACTTATAAATCTTTTGTTTTTGGTTGTGAAAATATTCTTAACAATGTGTTTGTTCAACAGAAAGGAAAGGCCTCCACTCACAATCTCTTTGCTGGTTCAGTTTTTCCTCTTGGCACTCATTGGGTAAGCATAACAAAGACCAGAGATTTAACCCTAAAACTAATTACATATAATTCTAAAACTTTTGTCTGTTTTAACATCAGAATCACAGCAAACCAAGGATTCTATCTACTGGGACTCTACTATGCAACTCCAACTTTTGCTTCTGCAATGCAGAACTCTGTTCCTGCCATCACTTTCATCATGGCTTGTGCCCTACGGTACCTAACATTAACAACCTCTTTTATGTAAATATCCTTTTAATCATTTTCATTCTAACATATCTTCCTCTGTATCAAGGTTGGAGCACATAGACCTGGTGCGAAAACATGGTGTGGCAAAAGTACTAGGAACCATAGTGAGCATTGGGGGAGCCACAGTGATCACATTGTACAGAGGTTTTCCTATGTTTAACAAGGGCCTTAACGTGCATGAGGATGATGTGACCGAATCTAACAAATCTCAGAACTTGACAATGGGATGGTTATACCTTATGGGTCATTGTCTGTCATGGGCTGGTTGGATGGTTCTTCAAGCTCCTGTGCTAAAGAAGTACCCAGCAAAGCTTACTCTAACCTCCTTCACATGTTTCTTCGGTCTGGTTCAGTTTCTGGTTATTGCTTTGTTTGTAGAAACTGATCTTAATAACTGGATCATCCTCTCTTGGGAAGAGCTCTTCACCATCCTATATGCGGTAAGATCTCCCTCCCTCTTTCTCAGACACACACTTCCTTCATCTGAAGTTAGCTAAGAAGAATATTTTTGTTGTCTTGGTTACAGGGAATAATAGCGTCAGGGTTGGTGGTTTATCTTCAGACATGGTGTATCTACAAAGGCGGCCCTGTCTTTGTTGCAGTCTTCCAGCCTCTCCAGACACTTCTTGTTGCTGCAATGGCGTTTCTTGTTCTTGGTGATCAGTTATACTCTGGAAGGTAAAACACATTGAAATAGCGAGTTTTTTTGTTCTTCTCGGTTGCTGGTTTTTAATTCAATCTTTGCTCTACAGTGTTCTTGGTGCAGTGTTCATAATGCTGGGACTATACCTAGTTCTTTGGGGCAAAAACCAAGAAAGAAGACAGATTCTTGAAGAGACAATTCAACAAGATCCAGAGTCTCTAACCAAACATCTACTTGAGGAACACTGATTCTGAACTGTTTACACTTCTCTGTACATATACACACACACAAGAACTTGGCCAAAACTCATGCTCCTCAAGTGGATCTTTACTCTTTTCATACAATGGATATTCTAGTCGTTTTACTTTTTGAGTTGTAATCAAAATTGGGTTGCAATTAATTTAAGAATAAGTGAAAAGAAAATGAAACTAAATCAAAGTTGACAATGAAGAAGCAAATACTAGTAGTTTATGTTCTGGTTTGGTCTGGTTGTTGACAGACTAATGAGCTGTCTGAAATTAAATGTTCATGCAACTGTGCACTGTATTAAGCTTTTTATTCAACGAATCTGTAACATTTGAGTCCCAGAAATTGCTCTTGCTAAACATATTGAACAATTATTCTCGGTACGTGTTTACTTTGCTGAAATGTAAAACATAAAATCAATTTGGCAGTAATGCGATTATAGTGGCATATTTGAGTATAAAAGAGTAAAAAAGAGCTGAACTTGAGGCAAATCTCTGATGAGTTGCAAGAACCGGTTCTTGTCCGGTACAGCTGAAATCTCTGGCACCGTCTTCTCAATCTGTGGTATGAGCTTCGCCAATTGCATCCCAGTGGCCAAACTGGTCTCCCTTTCCATGTCCTCTACTAACGCTACGGTACAAGACTTGAGCGAGATCTCTGCTACATTTGTAAACTCAGTGCTGCAAAACAAGAGAAAGAGAGCAAGAAATCTTTACATGGCTGCAACGAAGAAGATATGAGGAGGACAAAGGGTGTGAAGAGCAGAGACATTCTCTACCTTGTGAGTACTTCTCTCGTCTCGGTTATGAGTAGATGAAGCTTGGAGACAGTTGCTGCATCATCATTAGTGGTGGTGTCTCTTGGAGTCGTTGTTGGGTCTTGTGGCAACATTAAATAATCTATCCAGTGATGTGGACTTCCAGTGCTCATAAACACATCAAGAATCCGAGTCACAGTTTCTTCAAGTTTTTTTGTGGTTAGCACATCTTTTAACTGCTTTCTGCAACCAAGCAGGTATCATTAGATTTCATCTTTTACATGGTATATGCATTTAAGAACTTTGATAGTGTAATGTAATGTTACCCCTTAAGAACTCCTTTGACAGCACTCTTCATATGGGAAATCAAACTCGGCATGCCATCGGTTGCAAGATAATCAGCACTTGTCAGAAACTTTTTCTCGTCCTCTCTATCTATGAGATCTAACTCTTCCTGTGAAAAACAATACACATCTGTAGTTATCAGAATCTTACAACCAGAAGAAAGCAGCTTAGTTTCATAAATAACAATGAATATCTAAAAGAGGTAAGTAAAATGACTTACAAGTAAATGGGAGGTGGTAAGAAGAGCTCTAGCAGTGTCGATATATAAGTGTCTGCCCAAAATGTTGACTTGAACCCTAATGTACAAACTAAGCATAGTGACTGACCACAGCGACAAAACCATCCTCGTGAAACCTGGAAAGCAAACAACAAGCACCTTAAAGAGAAGCTCCAATAAGTCATATGTAAAGCAAGAGATCACAAGTAAGGAACTACGCACTCAGAATCTTGAGCTCAGTCCAAAGATGAAGCTTCTCAGAAGGAACCAACGTTCCCTTTCCTTTACTCAACGTCTCCATAACACCAGACACATCAATCTCATCAACAATACGGCTACTCAACCGACGCAACGCGTGAGGCAATGTAGTTACATCAGCAATCATCTGAATGTTCTCGAAATGGTCCTTCATTCTATCAACAGTTATAGACCCAAAAACAAGCAACAAGACAAGACATTAAGAAACTGTCACTGTTCGTTTGCATATGAGATAAAAAAAAACCAAGGAGCTGTCAAAAAAAAGGAAAAGACTTTATGTTGTAATGTAACAAGAACGTAACTGGGTTTTGACGATTTCGTCATTGTGACGCTCGTCAGCAAGCTCACGTTCCAAATCGGCTAGGTTACGAGTATGGACATTGTATAATTTGTAAAGCAAATAGCCACTTCCTAAACAACTCGTCGTCACCAAAATCTTCCTTTTGTGATTCCTCCATAAACTCCTAAACGTGTCGACAAACACACAAATCAATCTCTTCAGATTTTATCCACAGAGAGGGATAGAGAACAAACCTGATTAAATCCATGGCATTTGAAAGCTATTATTGGATTCGAACCGACGACCTCATGGATACAAAAGCTTAGGAAAAGGCTCTAATGAAAAGAGGTAAGGAAGGTATGGGTTCTCTTATCTGACGTTTGGATTGGATTTTGAAGATAAAGTTATGAACTTTCCGGCGAGATGATGATTCTCTAAATTTGGGAAACTGGAATCTCCAACCCAGAATCTACTTTATTTATCTTAACCGAACTTAACCGATTCGAAGTGACCGGTTCTAATTAGTTTATTTTATATATGCTCGGTTTAACAAAAATCGAAACAGAGATTTGAACATGGTCTTCGCTACCGAACGAAATAGTACTATTTCAGGTAAGAGAAATATAGATATTTTAGTTTCATGCATAAAAATAAAAACATTTTATTGCATTGTAGGAATTTTACATATATTTTGTGAACTTATTTTGACGTAACAAAAAATTATTTTTAACGCAAGTTTTTAATTGGTCTTTATGTTTCATAATGCACATACATTTATTAACAACTTTGTATTTAAAACTATAGAAAAAAATCAGACTCAAGAATTCAAAGGGGATGCAAACCTCGTATAACATATGAATTAGAATGAGTATAATGATTTGAAAAATTGAATTAAGCCAATCGAGTCAATGACAGCGTAATATACGTTCTAATGCTATAATTTAATATTTCTATGGTCATTTAATAATGTTTATGTTGTCATTGTAGAATTTCCAAATTTTTGTATGCATTTGTTATCATTTATATACTTTTGTGTGCATGGCACAAATTTTTAAATAGTAATTTTTTGAAGTTAGTACCAGAATCAAAATCATAATTCAAACATTACTTAGTTCCATAAAATGTTGACAAACAAATTATATCTTACTATATCTTGATCAAACACTTGTCATGATAAAAAAAACAATACTATTACCTTTCACGACACAATATTTTTTCAAAAATATTATGCTTGTTAAACTCATATTGTTGTTCGTATTTCAATTTCAGATATAAAATTTGTAAAAAAAATAAAATTGCTTAATGGAATTGGACTAATAGCTTAAAAAGAACAAAAGAAAACAAAACAGTCATCAATGAAAAATAATTATCTTTCTTTCTAACAATAAAGTTAGAGTAGTTTTTCCGAATGACATGTGTAGTTTGACTACGAACATACACTTTTGCCATATATATATATAAATCGATAATCTTTTGTCAAAGAAAAATAATATTACCATATAAATCGATTATTGTATTTTTTTTAGTTGAGCAAAATATTTCTAATTTTGAAATCATTTTTTCATGTGGTATTCGAGGTAATTGGTCTCATACATTTAATTGTTGCTTAGTCTTATCTAAACTTTCTGATCTGAATTTTTGTAGTTTTTATTGTAATCTTGCAAATTTTTCAATAAGGATTCCTTCATTTAATTCATTTCCAAAATTTTCAAAAAAAAAAGGATATAAACAACCTCCAATTGTATTTTCTTATATAATAAACAAATTATTTTACTAATAAAATCTATATAAGTTTTAGACCAAAAAATTTACGTTATCAATAAAAAGGAGAAAACTCATTATTCTTTTTCAAATTTATTGATTTCCTTTTTCTAGCAAGACTTACTACTACATGCCCATAAGATCTGTTTTATTTATTTATTTAGCTGATCTAGTATTAAATAATCTTTTGAATTCCTTGTTTCTTTGATGATTTCTGTTACAAAATTAAATAATGATTTAAGTTAGAAAATAATAAATAGAACAATCACACATAAGCAAAATCGCACATAATGATAATAAATTGACTTTAATTTACCTACAACAACATAACAATTTTTTATTATCCATAAGCATAATTGAACACACATATGTATAATCACGCATCATAATAGTGACATTAACTTACGTACAACATTGTACAAATGGCATACTACAATTGTGACAATAACTTACCTACGACATCATGATAATTATGGAAAAAGTAAAATCAACATCAATTTAGTTTTAAGAAGAAAAAAAACATACAAATATATGAAAGAACATGCAGAAAAATCATTTTTATCTTATCTAACTATATTAAAAGGGCGATATGAGAGCCAAAGAAACTGTCCACGTATGAAAATATAATTGACCAATTAGAAAGCTCTGTATTGCCACGTCATCCTCGCTAAGTATTACGATTGGTTTGGTTCTTCTCCGCTTCCATTACCCTTCTCTCCAAATCTGTTTCAGTGAATTACTTCACCACTAACTTCGCCACTACTCTTCTCTTCCATGGCGACTCTCGACAGTGGCATCTCCAGAGATGTTATCTCCGATCAAGAACATCGTGGGTCTGGTGCTATTCATGTTATCATGGGTCCTATGTTTTATGGGAAATCGACCTCTCTCCTCCACCGTATCAAGTAGGAGATCAGCCTCGGAAAGTAAAACAACTATCACCATCGCAAGAGTCAATGGCAGAGAACCGCGAAATGAAACGGCAGAGCCCCACCGCTTTGTTCTTCGATGACTTAGCTCCGGATTTGGGAGATTTAGAGTTGCAATTCCGGTTAAACCACTTCGGGAAGCACGAAGCACAGCGAATGGTGGCTTCCTTATTGGTCTTGAGCTTCGTCTCATCAATGATCAGGTTATGAAAGTACTGTTAACAACTCTTCAGATTCTCCATTTTGTTTCCTTCCCTACAGTCAGTGTTATTACTTTTTGAATCTGCAGAGAAGGTAGATGGAGTGATACAAACAAAGAGAGCACTCTACAAAGATTTAACTAATTAGTTATCAGAAAAAAAAAAGACTTAACTGGTCAATCAGACCATTCCAGCCTCTTTTGCTTCTAAAGCAGTTCAAAAGGGGCTGGAGCTGCTATTCCTTCTGTGGAGTAAGCACTAGAAAAAACTCAAGAATTGTATAAGGTAGTGTTGAGATGCTCTTCTTATTTTCATAGTACCATTACTTCCTCTGCATGATGAGTTAGATAAGTTATATTTTAAATTATATTCACAATTAATATAAGCAAAGATAAGTTTCCTTTTACGTGCATACAATTTGATGGGCAAGAGAGCATAGGTCGAGATTTCTCGCTGATATATATGTTCCTTTAAATTCCAATGTTTTTTTGCATGTTATTACACTGGCAACAATTGTTTCAAGACTAAAACAGAGCCACATTTTCAATATGCACCAATGAAGACTTTGGCATGAGATATGGAGCAATACAAGAGCAAGTAAGGTGTAGCTTTGTGAATGAATGTTTTAACATACATGCTATGTGATATTGGTATGTGATTGGTGAGGTGTGGGTGCAGGAACTAATGGATAAGGAATTTAAGACGCATACGATGGAGCACAGGCCAAAGAAAATGAAGAAGCCTAAAGGAGGAGAAGAGAAGAATGTGAAAGTAGAGGATGTCAATGGTGGGGAGGATGAGGTCATGATGGATGATTTACTGGAAGTTTGAGAGGGAGGAGATGGAAACGGCAAGGGAATGTGCACTAATACAGTAACAATAATAGTTCAAAAGAGTGTCAACAATTCAAAGAACTAGAGTAGAAAGCTATTACCCTTACCAATATTTGAGAATATGGATTAGGTACCAGGCCATTGCTACTTCTCAACGAGAAGAAAGCTACCAAAATGGTTTCTGGAATTGAAGTGGTTTCTTCTCAACTTTTTCTTTGTAGGAAACAATTAACTCAATCTTCTTCCATCTCTGCAGGGAAAGACTCAGATTATGTTCAGAACTGTTGCAAGTGTGTTATTGTGATTATAGATTCTAACTTTTTGAATGTCAGAGCTTTGTCTAATTTATGCTTCTTTGAATAGTATTCTCTAAACAGTTTATGAGCCATTTATTCATAATTTATCATAATATAAGTGCCATTTATTGTTATGTTTGTACTCTTTTTCTACCTCTTGATCAATCAATGGAGAAACAAGTATAACCAAGTCCTGCTTTTAGCATATTTAGAGTTTTGAGCTTATTGTTTGGAGATTTGAGTCTCTTCTTTCTACATGTATTAATTTATATTTTCAGTATTTTATTACCTTTGCTTTCAGTCATATACTGTATATATAAATTAAGTTTTTATATGGAGATAAACAACAGAGGGTTGTTTGAACATTATGAAGAACACCAATGACAGCGATAGGAAAAACAAAACCTAGAGTTCTAAGAAAGTGACACATTATCTTAAATTAGCAAAACACCATGAATTCCATAAATAAATATAATCAAGAAGATGGAATTGATGACCCTTGGGGTTATGGTGGATGGGAGTACGTTGCTCAAACGAGAGAGCCTGCAAAGGATTTAACAAATAAGGTACATGCTTCAATTTAATAAACACAGTCCTTGCATTGGCTTATAGAACAAGCTTTATTTGTTGTGTGGTTACAAAGAATCTAAGTCGAGGTTTGGTTTTCAACATTGCTTATCAATAAAACCTTGAAAAGGATCCGCAAAAGAAGGCAAATGGATCCATTTTCTTACAAGCAATAAAAATGTGATTTCTGGAGGTTTTAATCAGCCATCTTTTGGAAATGGAAACAAGGAAAACGTATTATAGCTTGCCATCTGTTTAGTGATCGATGCAGAATATGGATTACATATGGGTTTCACAAGTATTGTCCTGCTGTCTTTGAAATGATGAGTTTTGACTTTTCATTGTTACACATAATTTATTTAGTATGTGTATAAACTAATATATTTTGTTTGACTTTGCTTGCTTCACCTGCTATTTGGTTTCTTAATTACATCTTACTGAAACTTTTCATACGCACATTTTAAAGCCTGTGTTATCTTATGCAAAGTTGAAGCCTATATATTCACTACTTCATTTGGTTAGATTAATGGAAGTGCCCTTGATATTATTTTAATTTTGCTTTCAGGTAGAGGAAATGCTGACAGACAAAAAAGAGTCTTACCTCTGTTCTTTCCGGAGAATGAGAACTTGGAAACCTCTGCCACTTCAATTTATGAGGATACTCTTGAACTGAACGTGGTGATAGGTTCCATTTTTCAATCTGGATAATAGTAATTTAATTTTACACATGCGGAAGACCGTATTTCGAACCACTGGCATCAATCATTATCATTATATGGATATTTATAAATTGTACAAAGCAATCAACCACCATCCCTTATATTAATCTTAGAACATTACAACATATTTTGGTAACCACGTGTTATCACTACGTTAATTCTTGGAACACTTAGAAAAATAAGTTGGTCCATCTCAATATATAATAATTTTTTTATTAAATTAACTATGTAATTAATTGGTAGTGTATAAAAGAATATTTTCTATTATTTTCTTAAATAAAAGTTACAGAAATACCTACTACGACTAACAAATATATGACAATTAAAGATTTTGAATAATAAAGATTTGATAACAATTCTTTTTCTTCCATCAGATTATTAATTTTATAATCTTAAAATAAATTAAACAATCATATTAGTAATATAATAAAAAATTTAGATTTGTTCTTATATGCTATATTTTGAATTTTTTTTAAACGATTATAAATTACTAAAATTGTTAAAATTCAACATTGAAATTTTTGTGATCATTGATTTAACTTTTTATTTTAACAAAATACAAATGATCATAAAATCATATAAAGATGAAATCGCTTTAATATATATTCATAATAAGTAAATTAATAAATATATTTATATATATAATACATAAACATGTTAATTTCCAAATTTGCTTTAAGTAGTAAGCATCGGTTAATAAATATTCATATAAATAAAAATAATATTTGTTACAGTAAATATAAAGATGTTAGTTAAATCATATGAGTACGAACTTCAATCAACAAATATTTATATTAAATTCTATTATATAACTATGTTAATATCATTTAAGTTTAATAATATACCATATAAAATAAATATTTAATTATTTTATACCAACAAAACAATATTGTAAATACAAAAAGTGATGGTTTTTATTTATATGTTTACTCCAGTTTAACTATATATATAATAGTTACTCGCTTCTCAATTATTCAATATACCTTTACTGCATAATACGTAAATGAACATAAAATAAATAATAGTATGTATAAAGGATTTGTATACATAACTAATGTTAATAAAGTGCAGCTAGGGGTCAAAGGAAGGTGCGAAGACTAGGTTCCTGATCGACTTCATTCGCTTCAGTGACACAGTGAACCAGAAAATCTTGGTGTTTAGTCAATACATCGACACTCTAGAGCTGATCAGGGACAACCATAAAATATATTTCTAATATACTTCAGTTACACAGTGAACGAGAAAGTCTTGAAGTTTAGTCAATACTTTATTTTATGTGTATAAATATATTTAAAATTTATAAATATTTGAGTTATGTTATTATATTTTATTTTATGTGTATAATTTTACCAAATGTGTATAAGTCTAGGGGCTTTTATGTTATTGTATTACACAATTGTAGTTTTGTAGGTTTATATGTTATTTCAAAGTCTTGGTATTTCTAATATACTTTATTTTATGTGTATAACTTTACCAAGTGAGGTTGTTCAAAAAAAAAAAAAAGACTAATTCAAATGGGACACAAAACACCAAATTTGGTGTAATCTCATCCCCAATGGAATACCATAAATGACACTATCCCACCAAATTTGGTTTAAGGTAAATAGTGTTACATCAAAATTAATTACACCAAATATTTTATATACATATTTTATTATGTTTCATTTAATAGTATATTCTAACTATTATTATTAAATTTGTAACCAAACATAAAAATATCTTATTATTTGTATTTAAAATTATTTTAACATAATTACAATATTTTAATTTTTTAAGTAAAAAAATCACTAAATGACTATTATCATTTACTTTATATTTAAAAAAATATCATAGAAATTTTAATCAATAATTAATACATAATTAACAGATATGTAATATAAATAAATACATAAAAGTATAATACTGTTAAAACAAAAATATAAATGTAAATAAATTTATCAATATAAAATTATAAAATTAACAAATATAATATTTAAGTGTGATAAAAGAATTATTTATCAATTAAATATAATAAAAATATAAAATTATTCAAAATTTAAAAAATCAAAGAATTTTAAAATTACTTAATTTTGGTGTAATATTTTATATCATGGTTGGAGATGACAAAACAATTGATACCAAAATGGCAAATTTGATGTAATTTCAATACCAAATTTAGTGTTATGTTTATTTGTTTTTTAAATTTTTATGACAAACAGCCGAAATACAAACAATAACATAAAAACCTACAAAACTACAATTATTAATCAATATATTAATTGTGTAATACAACCATAAAATAAATTAGAAATATACATATATGTATATATATAAAGTATAAGAGATAAATAAGACTATTTAAAAAGGTAAAATTATACACATAACATAAAGTATAATAACATAATTCAAATATTTATAAATTTTAAATTTAAAGTATGTAATCCGCGCGTAGCGCGGAAAAAGGATCTAGTTATATATATTTTATTAATCATGAGATCTTTTAACGCATGTCAAATTTTAAAAAGAAAAATTACTATCAAATTATTTTGTCTTTGGAAAAATTACTATCAAATAATTTTTAAAATTTCAATTTTTTTATTATCTTAGATATAGTATTAATTATGAGATATTCTATCACATCTCACAATATTAAAAGAAAATTACTACCAAGTAATCTTTTGCAATCATCTTTTAATTAGGATTTAAGAAAAGAAAAATTAGTATTAAATAAATTACTTTATAGATCTTGTTTTTGTATGGAGAAAGGAAAACTACAATAATACAATCTTTAATTTTTTTACCATTAAATAAATTTAAAATGAATTGTTTTCCAAATTCGTTTTATTATCTTAGTATATATATTTTTAATCATAAGATTATTTAACACATGTCACAATATTAAATATATAATTGAGATGTGTCATAATTATGTTAATTAGCAACTTTTAAGATTCAAACTTTATATAATAAGATAGACCAACTTTACTGATTATCGCTTTGGTATAATTTAGTGAATGTCGTCCAACAAATAAACCGGTTCAAATAATATTTTGGGAGAAACCGGTCAATTCATACTTCAACAATCACGGTCCCGATCAATACATCAATTCAAACCCTGTGCTAAAAATACATCAACACATAATATATCAAATTTCATACATCAACTAACAAAATTCGGCTTTAACATGACCAATAATCCGTTAGTCAAACATATGAGCTGTCCGTTACATATTGATTTAAAATGAGCTAACCACGTACGGCCCATTATACGCAAAATCAATTTCGTCGGCCCAGAGAAAAGTTCTCTCCTTGCAGAAACCCACCAAACCCTAGAGTGTAACTACTACCTTCATTTTACACCATCTCTAGCTCTCTCGCCATTTCTGAATCAAGAAGAAGAAAGACCCTAAGAGTCCCCGTCACAAACCCTAACAATGGCCGAGGGACTCGTATTAAATGGCACAATGGGAGCCCAACACAGACATCATCGTCACATCATCATCTCGGAACAAATCCATCATCCTCTGGAAACTCACCAAAATTCAGTTTATTATTGACTCAAGTGAAAAACAAAAGAGTATGATATCACTTTTTAGTGTAAGAACATATAGTTTCCGTGTTTGATCATTTCTAAAGAAGCAAAGAAGAACAACTAAATCAAAGGCTCGGTAAACCATTTTATGGAGAGTAACTAGAGCTGCTAATTTAATAGACTTGAACAGTTACACCTAACTACATCATTTCTCACATAGATAATAAGGTGAGAGAACATTGAAAAAGAGAAAGCAAATTGTCTACTTGCACATAAAATATCTATCTTAATTATTTGGCTAAGTAGCCTCTGAACAATATAGAATCACAACTTTCACTCTCTTGTTCTTATCATTTTCTTTATTCTCCTTAGCTTTGAATAAACTTCTTCTTAAGCTAACAGCACATAATTGACCCGTTAATGATCACCAATTTGTGCCGTGAAATAGAATGTAATGTGTTGATATAATTGATGTACATATAGCTTGGTAGTTGGTATATTATTGATGTACATATACACGAGATCCTAATTAGATAATAAGTAGAATTTATCTATTTCTAAAATATGTCTTTAACTCTATACTATACATTATTGAAGCCTTTTGGGTTCGTTGTTCACACACACTAACATATGGCCTTGCGAAGAAAGAAGAGTACACTGGTGCAACTTGCTTCCTCTTCTTCTTGCTTTCTTTTTCTCTTGAGATGAAGTGTTAGCTACACTTAATTTGGACAACTTAGTCTTCACTTACTTCAACTAACGCGTTAAGTGTTTTGATGCACGAGTGCTCTTTTTTTCCTTTTTACCTCTCTGCCTTCTTCCTCTTGAGTAACAAACTCAGTCTTGAGTTTCTTATGGATACTAGAGTCATCTACGTTGTGCTTAGAGTCTTGGATAGAGCATTGTCTCACTCAAGCTCTTCAGTTGCTCCTTTTTATATTTTTGCATGTGTGAACTTCACACACTTGTGTCACATTTTAAACCAGACTTGCTCATATTGCTTTGCTTTGTTAGATCAGTTTTCATTGCACCACCATTAAAGATTTCCCTCCTATCATTTAGTTTTTGTTCTTTTTGGTTGGTGACGGTCACATTCCAACATAATTTACATAACACCTCTCTTTACATTATCATTGATGCATATAAACTTAATTAACAAGTATATGAATAGTATTTTGTTGGATGAAACACAAATCATGATAAAAATATGATAGTTTCGAAAGAACAAATACCCTAACACTTTTCTAAGCATCAATACGATGTCCATCAACTCAATCAATAGACCTACTTATATATGGAAGCTGTCCTTTAGATTTGCTTATCATTCACTCTTTAATGGAGATTGATACATAGGTAACTTAATGCAACAATGAATGTTTGCTGCGCTTCATGTAAGGAACAGAAAATGATATCCTTTTTTAGGAGAACTAGGTGATTTTCCCGTGCTCATGCACAGGTATGAATATTCATAAAAGTAAAATTTTATAATAATTGATTTGTATTTAGTTTTAGTTTTGAATCAATTAATATGTATAATTTATATTAATAAGTATTATATTATTCTAATTATACATATGACTTTGGATATATTATTGTCGGTGTAATTATTTTTCGGATCAATAGTTGGTTTGATTATCAATTTGGTATATTGGATAATATTTATTTTTCGAATTCAACTATAATATCTTTTATTCTAAATATAATAAAACTTTGATTAATTTCTTTATTTTCATTTCGGTTGGTTATTGTTTTTAGATATGTAACTATATTCTTAGATATGTAAATATATGATAGTTAAATTGTGTATAACTTAATATATATTGTGCTTAAATGAAATAAATAATTGATTGGTATGTAGTTTTAGTCTTTAATCAACTTATATGTATAATTTATATTAATAAATATTATATTATTCTAATTATACATATGACTTTGGATATATTATTACCGGTTTAGTTATTTTTTTTTATCAATAGTCGGTTTGGTTATCAATTTGGTATATTAGATAATATTTATTTTTTGAATTTAGCTATAATATTTTTTATTCTAAATATAATAAAACTTTGATTAATTTTCTTATTTTCATTTCGGATGGTTATTGTCTTTATATATGTAAATATATTCTTAGATATGTAAATATATTATAGTTAAATTATGTATAACTTAATATATATATATATATATATATTGTGCTTAAAATAAAATAAATAATAAGCTGAAGTGTTTAATTCAAAATTACATAAATGAATATAATGATAATATTTTGAAGTCGCATGCATATATATAAATTCTAAAAAGAATTAAATTGTAATTGGTTAATATTTTCTTTTTCTTTTTAATATGCTTTGGGTCAACATCTAGTTTATATGTATAAAACTAAATAGATTATTATTATTATTATTATTATTATTATAAAATTATATGTTCTTATTGTAGTTAGTTGATTAATTTTGAATATAAATTAGATTAGCCGAGTCATTCATTTTGTAAGTATATTGAATATAATATATTTTTAAATTAAAATTGAAGAATAATTACTTTTTATTTTAGTTAAGTCAAATCAAATTAGTTTTATTTATCGCTTAAATATATATGTATTTTCATAATATTTATTACTATTTATTTTAGTTAAGTCAAATCAAATTAGTTTTAGTTATCGCTTAAATATACATGTATTTTCATAATATTTATCAAATTATATGTTGATTTCTAAATAATATTAGAAAATAAAGTGCAACTGATAAGTTTTTGGATGTTCATGAACATATATATTTTTATTATTTTGAAAATATATTTTATGTTATTTTAAAATATATATTAATGGGGTATTGCTATTTTGTGAACTTTCCGTTTTAATAAAGTCATATTATATACATATATTTTCGTTTTTAAAATTTGTTTTAAAATTTTAGAAATATTTCCTTTTTATTGTATATGTTATTTGGAAAAAGGTAAAAAAAAACTAAATAAAAAAAATAATCTTAAAATCTAACAAATCATTAAGGGTATCTATGTAATCAACCATCGTGAGAGTTAACGTGAGCGCGACACGTAGGAAACTGACTTCTCAAATAATATTATAGAGATATATCCTTGTCTTTTTAAGAGATGATGTATCCTTGTTTTACAAAATTCTATACGCTGAGATCTAAGCGGGTCATTGTTAAAATCTTGGCGGTGTTTTTTATATTTGATTATTTGCTAAACATTTTTGGATCAAAAAGGTCCAAAAGTTAAAAGATAATAAATAAAAATCTCAAATAGAAAAGAATCTGGCGAGTCAAACGTCAAGGCTAAAGGTAATATCATTCCATTAATGTTACTCAATGCTAACATATAAGGTCAAACCATTCATATCTTATCATAATCTTGCACCTCTCCATCCTCAGCCTCTCACACCAGCCAAAATTTATCATAAACTTTACCTATTTATACCGCACAAATTTTATGTTATATTCACAAAGCAAACATAATCAAAAGAACGAAATCTCACCAGCCGCTTTTCACTTTTTTTTTCTCAAAAAAAAAACATGGATCCATCTCATTCTCACCAACCTTTTGACTGCACCAGCACCTATGTCCCTGAGGGCGTCACTGCTCAGAATATTTCTCCTCTCGCAACATTAACTCCTAACGAATCAAACCGTGTTGAGGCACAGGTTGAAACACAAGTTCAGCCAGAGGCCCAGCCACAGGCTCCTTCTGAGGCAGCTCTTGTTCAGGGGCAGCCTTCCTCGAACCATCGTGCTTACACAGACGTAAGCTTGGATCTAAAGGTTTTTTTTTGCTTTCAAGTCAATTATATTTGGTCTTTTGCAAATAATTTACTAACATTTTCTGTTCATGCAGATGATTTACGATGCGCTTGTGGCGTGGAAAGACCCTGCGGGTTCGACCCAGTGTGCAATTTCTAGGTACATCAAGATGTTGAACCCTAATAATTTGCCTGATAGTCATGATGGTTTGTTGACTCACCATCTCAATGTCATGGAGGAGTTTGACATCCTCACAAAGGTTAATAATTCATACAAGCTAGATGACTCTTCTCCTCCTGTGGAGAACGTGGCTGTTGCGGCTGCTGCTGTTGATGCAGGTCCCGAGGCCGCTTCTGGATCGGGTCCGCTTGATCCAGGGGCTGCTGCTGTCGATACAGGTATGGTGACGGCTTCCGGATCTGAGATCCCTCCGACCTACACCAGTTCACTTGCTACGGTGGCTGTCTCGCCGCCTGTCTCGGCTTCTCAGCCTCAGAAGCGAGGCCGTGGACGTCCACCAAAGCCTAAGACCGTAGCTCCACAACAGCAAGAACCCATCGATGCTCAACCAATCTCACAAGTGCTGCCACCATCCATCAATGTTGAACCAATCGATGCTCAACCAATCTCACAAGTGCTGCCACCATCCATCAATGTTGAGCCCATCGCTGTCCAGCCAAGCGGGGAGCAACCCGAGTTGCCTGTAACCAATCCGACACAGGAGTCAGCAAAGAGACGTTCTGGTAGTCCAAGGAAGGACGGATCTGGTCCGAGCGGTTCAACTGCGAATCTGGCTGTAACGATGAAACGAAGGGGAACCGCCATCCTTGCTCAAGGTGCTGGGAGAGAGAGGAAGCTCACAGCCATCCCGGCTCCTCCTGTCTCTGTGATTCCTGCCGGATCTGGAGGAACCGCCATCCTTGCTCAAGCCGCTGGTGTAGAAGAAGCTATGGCGGTTGCGGCCGTGATGAAGCGTGGACCAGGACGTCCACCTAAGCGTGGACGTGGACGTGGACGTACCGCAGGTAGACCCATACAGGTAATAATAATATCTTATCCCTATATCAGATTCTGTGATTCTCTTTGAGGTAGATTCGCAATATCTAGGTTTAGAGTTTAAAGGTTCTCGTACTTTATTGCAATCATTTGATGTCTTGTCTGTTTCCGACAGTGTAAGAGAGAGAATCTAGTACCTGACTAGTTTCCGAAGTTTGTTTTATTATATTGGTATTTAATTCGTATTTTTAATTTTAATTTTATTTTCATTCAGTTGGATAAACAAAGCAATAGTTGGTGGTGTTTCGCTTTAATTATGCTTACTTTAGTCATAGTATTGTTTCTTTATTGCAATCATTTGTGCATTAAAATTAGTCTGTTTTATTGAACCATTATTGTATGTCTTGAATTTTCTGAAATTAGTAGAGTATTTAACTTGTTTTACTTTTACTAACCTAGGACACACAAAGGCCAGTCACGAGGGCTACTGGGACCACCCAAAAACCTAGCTATGGAGAACTAAAGAGAAAGATTGAGCTTGCTGTAAGTCTAGTCGATTATAATAAACAGTCTTGTCCTTTTTTGTGAATCGTTTTCAGATTAAGTTCCTGATTCTTATGATTGGTTTTGGTATATGAATGCGTCAGAACGAGAAAGTAAAAGAGATCTTGAATCTGTTGGACGCTGGCATTATAACCCGGAACAACCAGGCAGCGGTACAAGCTAGACAAGAGATGGAAGAACTGATTCAGATGATGACTGTGGAGCGACAAACAATGGAAGAAGGGCAGACGGAGGGGCAAGCACCTCTGTTTGAAGCAGAAACCCAAGGAATGGAACTTGGACAAGGAAGCGGAGGAGGGGGAGAACAAGCACAGATCCAGACCCAGCCACAGCCTCAGACCATGATCCAGCCGGAACCCCAAATTCTCCCTGAGTTTGAGTCTCTGGCTGACATTGAGCCTCTGCCAAACCTTGAGCCTCTGACCTTGACCCAGCCCCAGCCGCAGATCCTGCCTCCGCTTCAGCCCAATGCAGAAGCTGAGGATATGGATCAAGATATTTTCTTATTTCCTAAGTAACGGTCCAACAAAGCAGCCTAGACATAGCCTTGGTGTTTGTGGTTATGAATGCTCTTTTAATATTTGGGTGTTGGATCATCTTTTAATAAAACTATAAGACATTTTTATTTTTAAAAGTTAGCTAGACAAGAGACAAAACCTTTTGATGCTGTTGTCGGCTTTATGTCTGTCTAGCTAACCAAATAATAAGTTGTGATTTAGGGATCTTTCCAGTATTGGATGTTTTCTCTTTTTATCAATTTAAGTTTCTTTCTTCAATCTCTCTCTCTATTATGCT